TGAACAACACAAGCTCGGAAAGCGGCATCTGAAGAACATGAAAAAGTTGGACCCATTGAAGAACACATTTGTTAGTGAAGTACAGAATGTGAAGAGCGTTGCTGCTAATGATTTAGTAGTAGGGAGTTTACCATCTCAAAATGTTGAATCTCAAGCTGCACTTGAAAGCACAGATAAAAAAGAAGGTGAACCGGAAAAACCTGTCGTACTACCTATTGAGGCGGCCAAAGTGAATGATCTGAGGCGTGGTTCAAAACGTGCGATAAGGGGTGGTGGTCGTGGTGGGAAGCGGGTGAGAATTTCTGGGAGGCCAGAAAGGGGACCTCACAAACCCAAAGTTGTAATTCCTTTGGTATGTGATTTGTGTAACGTCAAGTGTGACACACAGGAAGTTCTAGACCGTCACCTTGCTGGTAAAAAGCACATTTCCAAGCGCAAGCACTTTGAAGCTCACCAAGCTATGTATGGACCCCAGGAGCTTCAAGTTCTGTACCCGCCTAATCCCGTTACACAAACCCTACTCCAGTCACAACAACAGCAACAACCACAACAGCCCATCTCTGTGCCCCCCCAAACACCTTCAGAACAACCTTCAGCAGCAATAGCAGCAGCTTCCTCATTGCCTTCTCAAACTCAAACTACTGTACCCTAAGCGTCATGTGTTGTTTTTATTTTTACCAAACCATCAATTTTTCTTTCTAGTTTTCAGCTTTTATCACAAAGGTTAACAGTGTGTGGAGATCCTGGAGAAGTGGTTCAAACCCTGAGAAGATGAATCATGAAGGCCAGGTTTATGCATAATGGACGTTTCAATCAGTAGTTTTGTGGAAGCAGCTGTGGAAGAGAATTGCATGCTATTTCTCGGGGAATATGGAAAGGCATCTATCTAGTTACAAATTCCTATGGAAATATTTATTTGCAGATGTCCTATATATCCCAAGAGAAGATATCATCCCGGCAACAGGTGAAGGATAAATTATGTAAGAAGAATATGCTTATTTGCATCCACTGGCATGACTTTTCTTTAGTAAATTGTTATGCCGAAAACAAATAGTGCTGGCTTAATCTTTCGGTGAATTAGATGTATTTGTTGGCTACTTCTGTTGCCAGATTTCTTTGTTTTGCAGTTTCTCGACCATTTGTATTCATGTAGACATATCTTCCTGCATGTAAAATCATCAGCTTTATAAAAAAAACAACTTAGCTAGAGCTAAATTTCCAACACCCCCTTGCTTCAGTAGCTGCTAGTACAGTGCCTGATCATCTATTTTGAATGATGTGGTGCTTAAAAAATGTGGAAAGAGGTGACTTATATAGTTGTATAGTAGACGTTAGATGATTAGTTGTGGGGTTCAAATATTTTTTTAACCATTGTAATATTCTCATCTTGGGTTAGTCACGTAAAATACCTTTGTTCCCATTTGGCCTCTAACGTTAGTACGTTGTTAATAAGATGTTAATAAGATGTTGAGAGTTGAGACCGGTGATGGCTGTGATGGAAATCATGGAATGTCACCCTAACCCATCACCTATAGATAATGTCTCATTGGCTTTTTGAGTTCAAATAATCTTGGTGTATGAGCTATGTATTAGGAGTCGTTTACTTTCTATGTACTAAATTCGCAAATTTCACATGAGCTTTGAACTTTGAATATATATGATTTCATTTTCTATAATTCATTTATAATTGTTCTTAAAAGCGTTTTCGTTTTTTCTTGAAATCTTTATCAATTGAAGATTGAATTTAGTTTCTGTTATCTTTAAATGTGTGCTTCTACCTTATTTAAATGAGTTTGCACGTTTAGCTATAAGGTAAAAATCAACTGGGCACAAATTTTTTGAAATTAACAGATTTTTTGAAATTGCGTTAGTTTTGTTCCTTCCTTCAAATGTTGAATACTCTTGTGTATTAATCAAAGTTTGTTTAGTTTTATGACATTTAATTTTGCATAATTGACATTTGAAATGAGATACTTTGAGCACTCCCGTTTCTCTATCTGCAATTCTGCAAACAAGTGTTTGTTATTCGTTTCTTCAATAATACGTAGTAATTGATATTGAAGCGAATAAAGGCGATGCAATGCAGCAATGACTATCATATACTCCGTATTATGGGTGGACCGGTTCCGGTTCGGGCCTGGTTCAGGCCCGGTTCGGGCTTGGGCCCGGCCGGGCCTCGGTTCAGAAATGGGAGGCCCGGAACCGGCCTGGGTAATCCCGGGTCCGGGCCGGGCCTCGGTTCTATTTTTTTTTTTTTTTTGGCTTTTCCTAATTAACCCCCAACCCTCCCCCCTCACCCCCAAACCACCTCAAATGGCCCAAAATACCAAGCCCAACCCAAAAACTTAAAAAAAATTCAAAAAAAAAAATTAATTTGGCCCGAACCGGCCGGGCCGGTTCGCCAATCAAAGGGCCCGGGCCCGAACCGCACAGTAACCGGGCCGGGCCTACCCGAACCGCCCCCCCGGACCGGTTCTCGGGCCGGGCCGGTTCAAACAGTAACCGGGCCGGGCCGCCCGGCCCGAGTCCATCCCTACTCCGTATTCATATGAAACAAAAAATTCAATGAACACAATAATATATCCAGCAATCTTCTGTGCGCAGCCACTGCACCAACCACACCCGAAACGGCATGCTTTCAGCCATGCCCAATGGCTCACATGATCAGCCATATATCTCCATGGGGCGAGACGTGTATGCTCTAATTCAGAGCATATTGGGTAAATTCCATCGTACAGCCGGCTGTACCGTGCGCACGGTACAACCGGACTTGTTGTTCTCTGCGCAGCACAGGTCGTCGTCTCCTGCAGGCTTCCCTCGCACCATCTCCATCTCTTCTTCATCCCTGAGAGGCTTCGCGCACTGTATGGTCATCGTCCCCAGCTCGCGCGGTTCGTGGCTTCCTCGCCACAGGGATTCGCTTAGCTCGCCTCTTGGCCAGATCTGTGATGATGGAGCTCTCAACTGACGTCTATGGTGGATTTCGCGATTGACGGGGATGAAAGGGCATCTCAACCCTAGATTTGGCTCCTGTTTCTCCTTTTCTTCGTTTTCTGATGGAGTATAATCGTAGTCTTACTGATGAGTATACACAAATAAAAAGTTGAGTATAGTGGAGATTTTAATGAGTTTTTTTAAATTGTCCGATACTCAATTCGTAATTCGTGTGTACTCATTTTGTATTGGTGTAAACTCATTTTAAAATGTCATATTCATGCATTTTTCAAAAGTATAATATTACATCAAATTCATATATTAGATTCATATAGATTCAAATTCAACGCCCTAAATCAATGAGCATACACAAATGAGCTTTTGAATTTTTTGATACTCATTTTGTACTCATTAAAAATGAGTTTTATATAAAACTCAGATGAGTATACGCCTCAAAGAAATGAACATACACAACTGAATATTAAACACATTAAAAATGTGTTTTTTTGTTAAACTTAAATGAGCATAACGTCCAAAATCAATGAGCATACACAAATAAGCTTTTGAATTTTTGGATACCCAATTTGTAAATTATGTATGCTCATTTGGTACTGCTTTAAGCTCAATTTAAAATGATGCTCATATCAAATATAACGCCCAAAAGCAATGAGCATACACAAATGAAGTTTTGATTTTTTTATACTCATTTTGTAAATTATGTATGCTCATTTGGTACTGGTTTATGCTCATTTTAAAATGATGCACATATCAAACATATCATACTACATTAGATTGACATATTGAAATTAATTATAAACACAATTTAAGATTTTTTTATAAACGAAAATTAATAAAAAGAAATATGAAGCAGGGATCACTGGTGCTCATTGTTAGACACCTAATACTCAGAAGAACAAACTCGATGTTCATCCAACTTACATCAATGCTCATCTAAGAGAAATCATGAAGTTCATCAAATTTACAAAAATGCCACCGGCTGTACGGTGCCAGCCGTACAGCCGGCTGTATGGTATACGCTTCCGAGCATATTGTCAGTTGTCACACACCATCATCAGATTCAACAATGAATGACAAAAAATTGCCATTTGCCAATAAACATTGGTCAGGCTTCCGTGAATGTTAGGCTTTCAGTTCAACAACATTCACTTGGTGAATGGGGGTTGCATGGTGAAGAGGGTTATCAAATTAGGATTGGTTTGCAACTACTTTTAAAAAAAAACACTTCTCACCTTTTGGCTTTAAAAAAGCACGTATTTTCCCAAACACTACAACTTTTATTTTTCTCGGCTTCCGCGTCAAAAGTGCTTTTACTTTTTCTATTACACAAAAAACACTTATTTTACCAAACACTACCCACTTTTACTTTTCAAATCACTTTTTTCTCAAACACTATCAACTTTTATTTGATCACTTCTCCCCATTTCATTAAAAAAATCACTTTTTTAAAAGCAGCAGCTGTTGCAAACAGACCCTTAGTGTTTCAGCGAGCTTGTCCCGGGCTTTCGCTGAGAGTGGTGGTAAAGGTTGGTGTATGTCTCCAGGTTTGCAGCATTGGCAATGATCGTCTAGGGTGAGGCTAGGGTCAACGGGTTTTGGACAATTACAACAATGAGCAAGGTGGTGTTATTGTGCTTGGGTGGTGGGAGTAAGGATTGTGACAATGTCACTAGATTTTAATGTGAGAGCAGCAGGGGCGGATCCAACAATCTAAGATGCCCTGGGCTGAATAGAAATTATACTAGGCTTAAACATTAGCGGAGTGGGCTGGATATGAAAAATGAAAAAATTTACACTAAAAAATTGCAAAAAAAAAAACATAAGTTACACCAGGCTTTAGCCACCATAGTCTGTACATAGATCCTCCCCTCTGTTGGAGGAAAGATGTCACTATCAGGGACATGTTATAAGTGTTACTGGATTACGTAGTAAGTTATAGGAGTGACTAGATTTTTTGGGCCTCAGTTGATAATCTAAGACTCTGAGTGGTTATAGGGTATGCTGTGTCAAAAACAAGGTTTGTATCATAATCACTATTGATGGAAAAGGCGACTTAATAGATTTGTTTTATTATTAATAAAAATTAATCCATATACTACGTAATATTTATGTAACACGAATACATGACACGTAGTCACTTTTATGGAATAATAATTATAACGAGTCATATTTTTATTTAATGTTTTCCTTTAGAAATATTCATATGAAAAACATTTTAACATGATACTGAAACTCATTAACTGACAGGTTAATACCATTAATGAGCCACCGTGACTCTATGAGACGAGTAGTACCATTAATGACTCATACAGGTTCTTGCAAATATTGACCACCATGGCACCATCATGCCAATATGCCATACTCCCATCATTTATCACCACCACCGCCATCAACGGACAGTCACCACTCACCACTACAGCCAAGCATCGTTAGCACCGCTGCCTCCGATCATCACCTTTACCGCTTACAACTCTTAGCAATCACTGTCGTCCCTTCACCACCGGATTTCATGCCAACCACCGTTGATGAGCACTATGACCAACGGAAACCCCCCACCGCCATTATGACATTAGAAATCTATGCAATAACCGCATTTTCGGGACTAGCAGAAAATAGAGAAATTGGAAACTCGAGATTTTGAGAATGCGAAACAACAACCAATAATATTGATTGTTTATTCAGCAAACAAGTAAACCTTCTTGATTAATTTCACACTTCTGGTCAACCGATCAGATCGAGAAGTGTAATATTGTAGAAGTTTACAATCCCATTTTACTCATCTGGTTTACTATATAGCTGAAGATGATAAATGTTTATATAATGTAATCTCCAACATCTCCATCCTACATCTCCATCTTAATGCTGCTTTTGTATTCTATATGATGGACAAAATGAAAGGAAAATGAGCATATCTTCTGTAAACATTGAACGAAGACGTTGCGTCCCGAGTCAGCACCTATGCTGATCGATGAACAACCACCACATCTGAGTAACAAATCGGGCATGCCTGTTACATTATGGTGTAACAGTTAGCAATATGGTAAATGACACACTATGTTACAAAATGTTTTAAGGGTAGTTGGAGTGTGATTAATTACTTTATTTATGCTCAACCACTTCTTGCCACAACCAGTATGATACACATGTTTGCATGGAAGATTGATTTGTTTTTCGCCTCGTTTGTATTCCATCTGGCAGATTACACACCTGTACATAAAGAAAAAACATGTTCAATAGAACATAAATCATGATTACATAAATGGTAACTGCATACACTGCAACCGCTACCTCCTAAGTCTCGATATGTATGCGTAGGTGACATGAAATTTAGTAATAGTTGATTGCCTAAAAGGAAATGGATAAGTGCATGTGCGAGTTCTTCATGTTTCAGGTCATATAGCAAATGGTCTACAAATCACTGAGTTTTTTTATAATTTTATAAATCTCCATGTAATAAAGAAATTTGTAAGAGATCCCTTTGAAGGGGTCAAGGGGAGCCTTGGCGCACCGGTTAAAGTGTTTCCATGTGACCAAGAGGTCACGGGTTCTTGGGAGCAGTCTCTTGTCAAAATTTGACAGGGGAAAGCTTGCCCCTTATACACCCTTGGGGTGGAACCCTTCTCCGGACCCTCACCTTGCGGGGATGCCTTCTAGCGCCGGGCTACCCCCATTCCTTTGAAACTTGAAGTATCTTACCTCTCCTTTCTTGATCTCTTCCTTGAAAAAAAGCCACATTTGAACTTTGTGACTGGAAGCAAAGAGATCAGTTCTTGAGAAAGGCCTCTGGTTTGTGTCCCAACTGTCTCTCCCAATTCCAGTAGCTCCTAGAAAGCAACCAAAACAGGAAAGTCTAGGAGTTTAGATTCATGTTGTTCGTTTTCCTTCATACAACCCAAACCATGTCTGATGTCTTAGCCTGACTGCATTATTGGTCTAGTGGGCTGTATATATTTTCCAAGTGTTTTTATTCATATCTTGAAAGCCAGAAATATCTTGACCACACCTAATATAGTTAGCTTGTATTCAGATATTTTATTTTCTGCTTTCTCTAATTACAAAACCCAGGCCAGAGTCAACCTGAAGTCCCAAATCATTTAGTCCTACTTAGTATTTAACAAAATAACAGAAGATGACTTGAATAAATGGAGATGAAAATGATTGGGTTTTTTCAGTGGACTTGGATCTTGGAAGAACGAGAGTTATGATAAATCATAACCCCCCTTGGCTAGCTAACTCATCCTCCCACCCACCCCCCCACCCCATCCACACACACACACTATGAAAGACAGAAAATAGTTATTGTCTCAACAAGATAATACTCATTAGTCATTACTTATCTGGATAATTATCAGGTTAGATGACGAACCTCATAGGTCATGTTGTCAGGATCAATATTATCTTGCCACACAACCTGCATCAGTTCAGAAAGAGGAAGAATTACAATTTTGTTTTTTCATTAAAAGGATGCTCCAAGCCTCCACCCAATGGTATTAATGTGTTTGATATGCATACAAAAGCAGAAAGGCATGCATCCTTGGACCATAAAACATCATTATACCTCTTCATCATCACAAGTGTTCTGATAACCACTAGAACCTGAAAGATTGCAGTAGAAAACGTAATCAATATTGCAACTATCTTATTTATGAACAGGCATAGAATAGTGTGAAGACAATATAAGTACAAAGATACAACCAACTCGCTTATGCCAGTTAAAAAATGATACTACATATTACGGAGTACTTCTTCTAACTTTAATATCTGCCCACATGTTAGAACAACAAATAATCAGGGGTGACCAGAAAGTGGGCTCACACTCCACGGAATTAGGATGTAAGGTGGAGATTGAATTGTCTCGACGATGCATATGTGCTGCTTCTGCTTCTACTGCCTCATTAACAGGAACTGTCTGCAAAGGGGTTTCAAATTGACCATTCTCACTATAGCAACCATGACTAAATTCATAATAAGAAAAACTCCCAGGTTCAGAGCGCTCAAATTTGTAAACATTGGTATTAACAGAAGAGTTCTCCTGCGAAGAATATCAAAAGATTGGAGGTTAAAGAATAAGTAATATATACCAAACCTTAAATAAAATGTTATCCAGAAAATGCAGTCATGATTAAAAAGATAGCATAATCCACGATTTGAAGAGAACTAATTCAGTAAACATGAATAACTACATTAAACAACATATATACTTAGTGACGTTAATACGAGATATCTATCTATCAATCAATCAAATGCACAGACATTAGAATACTACGTACACAGCCACATATATTCTCCCATTTTAGGCTTAGAGTTTTTCCATTTGAAAGGATACAATGAAACTGCATCTGCTATACTCTCTTACAGAATCAAAACCACTACAGTCCATTTTATGTGTTCGGCTGATGCAACATGCATGGTATGACCAAATGTAAATTAGATTTTGTTATGTCTTATTCAGCATTAGTAAAAAATACTTACTCATTTATATTTTTAAACTACACATGAAAAGTATCGTTGAGCTTGAAAAAACACACAAAACCAAATGAAAAATAAAATATGAATTGTTTTGAACAGAGAACAGTGATTAGGCCAGCAAATGAAAGAGGGGTAGTATGTAAACAAAAGATGAAACAATATAATGTACCTGAGCATAGGGAACATCAGCAAAGATATAGTTCAAATGGTCATAGGTTACCCCTCCGAAGAAATGCATGAAACTTCCAATAGAGTTGTACGGCATGATTGTGTCCGTGTATTGAGATTCCATCTCTGAATTCCAACTCATCTTGAACTAACTGTAACTCTGCAACAGCATCTACCCTTTACCAGTTACCAGTAAGATCTGAAACACGCAAAATACAGAACTTCCAGTGACTTTTATGTAAACAACGGGCAGAAGATTTTTTCTGAACCATATTATTATGAATTTATGATAATTTGGATTAAGTAGTAAAATTGTTTGATAGGAACACATGGATCAATCAAGAGTACGTTTAACCAAATAACCCGAAGTAATTAAGAAAAGTTTAGGTTGCATGCCGAATACGCCACTAATCAACCCCTATGAACTAATAACATATTCTTCTGACAAACTGAAATAAAGCAGACAAAAAGAAGGAAAGTTTAAACGACAAGGTTCCTGCCATTGCTTCATAAATGAGTATTGAACAATTCTCCAAATTCATGTCAGAGATGCCAGGAGAAAGTAATCATGAAACTATTGAACTAAAAAATGTAACAGTAACCTCCATTAACATATACTCCGTACTTCATTATACTTAGCGGATAAATTAAACAAATTTCATATCATTTGATCAATACCCTCGCCAAATTCCAATGGAGTAGCGATGAAAACAAGACGATTAATGGATCTCGAGAATTACATTCGTTGATCGATAAATTTTAAAAAAGGAAAGATCAGAAAGCAGATTAACTAACGACATGAATCCAAGAAACAAGAGGGATAGATTAAGGGATCAAAGAGCCCACATTGGTAAGCTAGCTTTTCGTAACGGGCACCGCTGTCTTGTTCAGTTCGTCTTCCTCTGGCGTCACCTCGTGAATGTGTATATATATGGCATGGAAAGAGAGACAGAGAGAGAGAGAAAAGGGAGGTGAACGAGAAAGCCCCTGCCTGCGGTAGACTAGACTAGTAGTTAGTGTATGTGTCGATCATATCATGCCTTTAGCTTTATGGATGATCATCATCATCACTTCTATATACTTCATCGGTTCATCCTATCTAAATTTGATTTACAATTCGCTACCGGTGGGCGTAGCTCAACTGGTAGCAAGGGAGTGCCACAAAGGTTAGGTCTCGGGTTCGAATCCCGGCAACTGCGATGAGGGGTTACTATGCTGAAAAGTGCATAGGGCCTCTGCAAGTACCGGGGACAGAGCTCCACTCTCTATCTGTCAGATTGTGATTATAGTCCAATTTACATCCTCCCATCGTGCCGTCCGGTCGGTGTTGGGGGCCCTCAGGGATGGGGTGTCATCCTTTTTTTTTTATTTACAATTCGCTAAAGGGTCAAATTAGCGTTAAGTAACTTAAAAAGTGCAATATGAGCAAATTAGATTTAATGAAGAAAATGTTCAAAAAAATTATAAAAAAATTCCACCGCGAACCGCCCAAATTGTCGACGGTTAGACAGAGCTTTCTATATAGAAGGTGAGTTGCATTTTTAAGTTAGTTTGAGGGTCTATTTGACGCTTTAACTTTTACAATTTGATAACAAAGTTATTATTTTGAAGATAATTTAATTTATATATTCATAAACTACGTCCAAAACAAAATTCAAATTAAAAATTTGATATGTTAAATAAGTAAATAAAATGAAACCGTGCTAATAAAAAAAAGTGGATTTCACAAATCACTAAAACAGTCGAAATACTTTTTATTTGTCCATTTGCGATTTTCAAAATCAATTGATCGTAGTGTTAGAATCCTTCTCACGTAATTAATGAAACCAGTTTTAATAATTAAAATTTATTTAGGAATTGTATTGAGAATTTTGTAAAATACAACATTCAAATTAGAATATACGAAGTAATAAATACATAAAGTTAAACTTTACCAATTTGGATGGAGTAAGTATATACTATGCTTTTCGGCTTAGGATGTTTTTACTTGACTGTAATTTGCTGGTCTGATCTGGTCTGAACTGGTCTGGTCTGGTCTAGTTTCTTTGTATTTTTATAACTATCCAAGTCTGGTCTGGTCTGGACTGGACTGGTCTGGTCTGGAACAAATTACAGTCCAAGTAAAATCAGACTTATCAGTCAACTTTTTCACCAAACACGTAACTTTTGCTTTCACGCGCTGAAATGTGTAATAAGCAGAAAAAGTAAGGTTGAAGTTACTTTTCTGGATGTATTGTCTGAAGTTACTGTAGATGACCATTTAAGCTATTTTTACATATAATTTTTTCTTTATTTTATTAATAACATATATTTTAGAAATAATTTGTTTCTTAAATCAGCAAGATCAACCAATACAACCACTTCAGCTAGATCTTCATAAATTTCAACACCATTTTCGTGTTACCAATGAATTATGATGAGTTTCGACTAATGACCGTACCTGATGCTAATGTGCTTGGCATATATTTCTCATATTTAAAAATGGGAAAAGGGTAGAGACGTTAGATGCAAGCTAACAACTGCCCGCATCGGTGCGTCACCAACCCCTTTTGCTTCTTTTTTTTTTGTAGCTCAAATTGACCATAAACACCTTCCCATCATTCAATCGATCTTTTGGTGGTTTAACAGCTCAAAAGGAGTTATGGTGAACGGACTCACGAGATAATCTCCAAATATGGTAAATTCACGTTTAATCATTCAATTACACATACATACTCATTAAACTTTCCATTAATTATATGTAGAGTTTTTCCTCTTACAAAATGTTCACATGCAATTGGTCCTCAAGATTTACATCCTTGGCCTCTCGATTGATAATATATTACGTAGTAGTATATTACTATTCCTTTTTGGTAACATAAAATTTTGACCCACAAACACAAAAATCTATATTGCGTAATAAATTAACATAATGAAATGAGTCAATGAAAATAGAGGGGAAAATGTTTGAAGTACAGCCTTCACTAAAATATACGGAGTACTTCGTACTCCCTCCGGTTCTAAATAAACTTCACACTTTCCTTTTTGGGACGGTCCAAAATAAACTTCACACTTCCTTATTTCCTTATTTGGCAAAGAAATCTACATCAAAACAGTGTTAAACAGTGCTAAACAGTGCCAAACAGTGTCTCAACAGTGCCAAACAGTGTCTCAACAGTGCCAAACAGTGTACTCTACAGTAAAGTCAACTTTATTTCCTTAATAACTGTGAAGTCAAACACTGAAGTTTAAAAAGAACCGGAGGGAGTATTATTTAAACAATCGTTTCACAATCGAAAGGGGTACGGTATTGTTGGGCAAATTATACCCTGGGATCGGTATATACCAAGCGCATGATATATCGATCTCAAATACCGTATCGTTTTTTATAACAAACGTTGCTCGATGGTCGCATGCTCCTCCAGTAGCACATTCACACTCATCCACTCACGTTTGTTTTTCATATTCACACTTTTTCCTATAATATACTAGTATTTATTATCTCTAATATATGTTTTTAGTGATTTTAGACATTGAATTTGGTTATTTTGATTTACATTTGATAAGATATGAAATTACTTTTTCATATGTGTGATTTGTATTTCTACATGTGTGATTTGACTGATTTCTGAAGTTACATTTGATAATATATGAAGTTACATTTTCTATGGACGAGTTACACATTTTTATATGTGAGTTACATCTTCTTATGAGCGAGTTACATTTAAACTTGTCTCAACAAGTTACATTTTGCGTACACCTAGGTTAGATTTTTTCATCAACACGAGTTACATATTCCATAACACTAGTTGCATACCAAATAAACTCCAACTATTGAAACAAAAAGTTCATTTTTTTTTTTGCATAAAAGAATGTTTTTTGGCAAAAAAAGATATCAGGGGTGTATAAATGGGCCAATCAGACTCTTAAGAAGCTACCCGTAATCATGAGTGCTAAACAAACAGTCAAACCACAACTGGAATTGTCTTTGATACCATGTTAAGACGCGAAGTTCCATCCTAAAAGGTCAACCTAATAAGAGGAGTAGCCCAAAGCCTTATATAGTGTTTTATTGTTTTTATAGTTTTCCGGTGTGTGACAAATAATTTAACATTATTTAAACAATCCTTTTATACAATTAAATGCGAAATAACTTTAATACAAAAGAACATATACACTGAAAACCTTAATGAAAAAGCTATACTTCGAGTTCACAATCCATATACATACATCATCGTACATTGGTACTATGAGCTTGAATCATAGCCCAAGTTCAAAAATAAATGTATTACTCGCCCAACCCGAGAAGTAATATTGGCAAGCTCAGATTAAAGAAGAGAAAACTAGCAAATAAGCTCTGGCTTGAATAGGAAGATCTGAACCCACCATGAGGTCAAAAGGCTTGGGCCAATCTGGGTACCAATGACTCAGTCCAGTTGAGGCGTTGTCAAGGTCGGACTCCTTATAGGGCAAGGGTCGTCTCATTCACAGGAGACGCATTACAACAGCAATCACTTCAATAAACGTGGACACGAATTAAAGAGGACATTAAATGCAAAACTTATCATAAGAAAATGGGGCGTTCCGCATTAAGCCAATTACCCCAACAAAATACATACTCCCTCTGTCCCATTTTGGTTGTCCTACTTTCCTTTTTGGGTTGTCCCAAAATGAATGTCTTGTTTCCTTGGCATGAAATATGTGGTTCTTATCAATTTACTTTATTCTACTCAAATCTCAACCATAACTTTTATTTTTCAACCACTTTATTAATAATCGTGCCAAATTGAAAGTGGACAACCATTATGGGACGGAGGTAGTATGTGTACATAACCAAAAAGACTACCAATAATTCAATACATTCACAATTTTAGTATTAGACAATTCACACATATCATAATAAAAACAATTAAGAATATATAAACACCTAACCGAAAAATCATTTAAACACATTTGCAATTTAAAATTTTCAGAATTCACAATTTAACAAGATAGCAGATTAAAAATCAACAACTACATAGTTTCCCCTCACATCTTCAGCATTTTTTTGCATGCCGAGTGTCACCATGATATTTTCTTTGGTGGTTGGGTGTCTCTTATTGAATTGACGTGATGTTTAATAATCTTGTTTCTATAATTTGTTTGTTTAGTTATTTATGTAGATACCACATGCTACGTGGTGTTCTTAGACAGCTTAGTAGCTCCTTTAACTCTTTAAGTGACACCTGATTTTCATACGTAGTACTCTATGATTTAAGTCTAAGCCATGTTTCATATGTTGGAAAAAGTGTGTTAAAATTGCATTAAATGGTCATTTTGGGGCAATTTTTTGAGTGGGGTCCACTTCCGATTTGGGTCGGGTCAAAGTGGTTTCGGATTGTCCTTGCTTAGGGCTACAATTCGATATATGGTACGCTCAAAACGGATAACGGGTGAATGAGAAATCACTTTTCGAAGTTTACCCGTTGCAATGGAGAAAAGTCGGAAAATGTCGGTTTTTAGTGTGGGTTTTTCCCACACTGAAAATCACAAGGGAATTTGAACCCTTTATAAAGGGAACCCCCCCCCCCCCCCCCCAAGGAGTTAAGATTCCTAAAGGGAAAGGCTCTCTCACGCGCGAAGGGGCGGTGCGAATCAAATCCCGAAACCGAAGAACAAAAAGCGCGACTTGCGTGTGCGGGTGACCTGCACACACGAATCAATGCCAGCATGCTGCCATTGAAGTCCCAACGTTCATATGAACGTTTTGGGCTGTTTATTGGCTGGAATCAATGCCCAACGTTTAGGACATTGATGTCCAACGTTCACAAGCCTTAAACAACCATTAACACACCATAATCCACCCCTATAAAAGGCTAGTAGGTGCTTTGTTAACTACACACGTTCATACACTTCGTAGTTCGTACACATACTTTCAGAGCTAAAAACCACCTCTAGCATTCCATAAAAACTCTTCTGTGTTCTGAGCTTTGTTCTCGTTCGTTGGGACCATAGTTTGAGTGCTAAACTATCGTTCGAAGTCACCGTATCCTGGGAAACGATCGTTGCAACGCTCCTAGCACCCCGGGAGGCAACGAATACATTTTAAGGAAATCGTGCGTAGCACGAGCTTT